GTTAGCTTGTTGGTGGACATCTCGTCCTCGCTGATTTGCTACGACTCGTCCACTCCGCGTCCGCAAAGTACGGCGGAGTGCATAAGTGACATGGTGGGTCCTACAGTTATATTCCTCGATTTCGCCTAGAGATTTACTGTATAATTGGCAATAAGTGATTTTCTAAGCATATTCTTCAGAAGAAGAAAAAAAAGAACATATTCAGAAAAAAAATTAGTATTTCAAAGTTGACTTATTATTCAGCAGCGGAAATACGGTTTTTGTTTCCAGATGTGTTCTCTTAAATCTTCTAGTAAAACTTTCCGATATTTCGTTGGAACAATTGTTACTTTTTCTTTTTTTGTTATGTCTTGAAATAAGAGATTTTTATACGAGATACTGTTCTGTAGAATGTGGTGAATTTTAGGGCCCTTATGAGTTTTTTACGGACACGTGTGCGCAGTGGTTGGTGGCGCCACTGCAACACATACATGGAGTCAATTACCGCGTTCATGGCCCACCACGCTTTCTATCCCTCCGGGGTTGACAAATTGGTACCAGACTTATCTTGGAAGATGGCAACACTGGCTTGATACATCAGTAGGCTACCGCGAGTCACCGTAAAGACCAGATATCAATTAACTCCAACGATACTTAATGAAGTAGAATGCATGGTGCATCCTTCAAAGATTGATCAACGCCGAGAGCTTTTTTTACGAGTTTTTTTTATTGAATTTTTTTTCCTACACTGTATTGAGCACAGCTTTCTATTCCTTAGTAGTGCTGAGATGCCTTCTTACTGTAATTCCTCAAATTTTCCACTAAACTGTGTCTTTAAAATTGTGTTTCCTTTTTTCCCCCATGTCGTGAAAATAGAGCTTTCGAAAGTCTCCATCAGTTTCCATGCAGTGTTCATGTTCTTGCCAGAGTGGCAGTGATTTGTGCAATTGGTTCACTCCTAAGTGAGCTTCCGTATAGAAATGTCGAATCATCAGTTTGTAGGTGAATGGTCGGTGAACATCGTGGTTGGGCGCGCAAGAATACTTCCCAGCCTTGATTATGTGATGAAACATAGTGCTTAGTGCAATATTGCTATGCAATAGTGACATATTTTCCAGATTTTTTCCATTTTTCGCAATCCCAGTGTTCTCTTGTTTGATTCGTTGTATTTTGCTCGTCGTTCAGACCGTCAGATTTTCGTGTGGTTCGGCTGTCGACTAAGGGCTTTCTTGATCAATGTCGTCCCTGAAATTGAGGACTATTTTGGAGAATTCTTAAGTGTTAAAAGCAACCGTAGACCATTTCGGACGTGTCTGAGGCAAGTATGGCTAAGATTTTCCGACTGCGAAGAAATGGGATGGTTGCTTGGCTCGATGTGGGATGGTGCCAAAGGCAATGTATCATGTGCAATGTGCAACAAAAAATTTGGACATTTACGTTATCACGGAGGGCGTCTATACAAAAAAATATATTGTAGAAAACTATGCGTTGTGTGGGATGGAATCCTGCTGCCTTAATCAACTCGTTGTTCCTAGGAGCGAGGACGAAAGAAGGGTGAACGGTTCGTTTTTTCGTGTGGTAAGGTGGCAACGTTGTTAAGTCACTGGATTACGTTGGTTATGAAGCTTAAGTGAGTTCGACAAAGAAAGAGCATTTCTATATTCATGTGCGTTTCAAAGCAAACATGGCTGTTAGTTTGCGCTTAACTCCTATCTGCACATAAGGGCACTCGCTACACGTACGCACAGACGTCCATATCATGATTGGTTTCAAGAAACCACTTTCTTCTGCACTTGAGCACGCTAAGAACTTCTAGTAATTTCGAAACTCTAGTACGACTTCAGATGTCGGAAAAGAAATGTGCCTCGCTACCTTGTTAAGGCTGTGAAAGTACCTTAATGTGAAGCCATCGCGCAGAGATGGCTTTGCGTTACACTAACAAAAGTTTTCTAAGATGAAAAACCAGGTAGTGAACATAGTAGTCCTAGGTATTTGAACCATACTTTAAGAAATCCGGTGACAAGATGGCATCCTTTCCAATCTATAATCCCTGGAAGTGAAGTTGGTGGCGAACTTGTAGTTTTCCTGCACCGGATTACTGGGCGAACTGTGAAGAACGTCTTACCAGACCAATAAAATTCGTAACAAGAAAGAGCTAAAATGCGGAAATAAATACTAAGGCAGATAATTTCGTTTTCTTACGAGTACAGCTGAATCATAAAAAAGAGTGGAAAGGAAGACAATGTTGTGGGAATTAGTAAGCTGTGCTTAACAGGGATAAATCATTGTCTTTGTTTACTGATAAGTTTACAGGAACATGTTACAATCCTTTATTACAGCTGACGTTTGAGCAGTACGGCTTTCTTCAGAACCGCGATGAGTCGGGTCGACTGTCTGGCCCGGTCCGTGGTAGTTGTTGCCTGCGATGTGCTTCTTTTAATAGTCGCATCGAGACGAATCAAATGGATTGGAGCACCGCACCGAAAAATCAGTGCCTTCCATCATTGCCTTTCGATAAATGACGGCTAGTGGTCCCTGGAATCAATTGACCTGACGCCGCACTTTTAGTAGATACAGAACGCTTCTATATTGAATGCAATCCAAAATTATTTGTTGCCACGGGAAAACTCCTTCTTGTATCGAAAGCTAACTAATATTCCCTGGTATATAACAAACCACTAATTTAATACAAAGGAAGTGCTTCATGTTGCTACTTCATTCGTGCTTTTTTCCACTTTATTCAATTTTACTCGATACGAGACGACTTCGAAGACCAACATATCAAGACGCAGCAACTGTTACGAATACTGGGGCTGAATTATCACTGCTCTAAAAAAGACAATACTGTCGAAATTTTAGTCATAATAAAGAGTTTTGGCAACAACCACACTTAAGGCTTCCAGCAAACTAAGAGAACTCATGCTTAGTTCGAAAAGTCGGCGAGATTTTTTCGTTTACCTGGTAAGAATGGTGGGCATATTTCTTTCAAAGAAGATTGACATTCTTCTTTACCTTAAAGTCATGAAGCTTTTTTACATGAAAGAGATAGGCAAGAACCGATATTTCAGTGTTGCTCTCGTTCATTTTTGGTCTTCTACATGTTGTGAATAATACACATCTTTTTTTTTACCGAGCATACCCTATATATGAAATGTTACGTTATGAATGGCTGTCTTTTCTCTACTGTGAGCGAAACGTCTGAAAAGTTCATTTTTATAACAAAACACCAGGTGCCAAGGTCCTGCAGAGCGGTTAAAGCCACATTCAGCTGTAAGCGATCACTGTCTAGTGGTTTGTCCTTCGATGAATGAAATTCCGATTTATGCCTATGCAGATCTCGGAAATGGTCATTGCAAGAACAATATCTGCGCTCTTTGCTTTAACGAAGCTTTAGAGTACAATATCAACGAGATTCTGTGAAATAAATCTTTCTGACATTTTAAGCATGCCCTTCTTTAGACTCTACACTCAAATTTTACTCTTCATTAACTTTTGATATACTCCTAGTTCAACACTCGCGCGCCTCCTAATTTTGCCTGACACTCACATCCCATGTTTTTACCGGTGTGCTGGTTTTTCGAAAGCAAACGGTAGCTTTTTGATATTCATAAGAATCTATAGATTGTAAACATGAAGGAATTTGGAAAAGATCTTGCTCTATCGTTCTGTTTTTTTAAGTGGCCTATCTGCCACTACTCACTATGTGTTCTTATGGTTTATCATATATTTATGCCAGCGTTTGGAATAGTTCTACACTTTTCACAGGGTCTATTTCCTTTTCCACACGTCCCATAAGTACGACTCAACGTAGCAAATAAAATAATAAAACCGGTATAATAGACAATTTCCAGTCATACTTTCGATCAACGAACTCGTCGAGAAAGGTGTCTTTGCATATTTTCAATGATCAGAAGAAAGCTACGAAAAGAGTTAGGTGCGCCGAAATAAAACACCGAGAATTAGACCTCAATTGAGGTAATGCTAGCCGGCATAGAATAATCACTGACTTCTATAAAGGTTATGCCCGTCGTTCAGAAGTTAATTAAAAGGCTTCCGGCTCTATAGTTTTGCTAACATCCACTGTAATCTACCACCTGAAGTTGGCTCATTGAGCACTAATGCCTAATGCTTTTTCACAAGCTAGGTAGATTCACAGAAAAAATGGTGTCTCTTGGAATAGAAGACCAATCGCACCGATAAGGTTAGCTCTCTATGAATCTGCTGTATATCTACCTATTTCGAGTTTCAATAACAGAAACCATCAGGATGCAGAACCCTATGAAGACTATGAAACGAAATTCACCATTTGCTGACATTTTAACGTGTGATTATGTCAGGCAACTCAAGAGTGGACATCGAATAACCGGATGGACATCCTAACCCCGATTCGTCACACTGCCCCACACGTCCCTACAACACTCGCGCAATATTTTTTAAGTATAAGCCATCGTATTTTGCGAAAATTCTAACATCGCTCTTATTCTTTTCTTACAAGGCACGGTCTTTTACAAAGGTGGTCACGTTTTCACATAAGCAACCCATCTTTCGTTTCACTGAATGTTATGGAACCTCAGTCGTTCAAGAACCCTGTCTGAGCGCTGGCAGATTGTTCCCAGAACTTCATCATAGACTCTTTCTGGGCTTCAAAAAGATCATGTTCCAGACAACTATGATTTAAGAAATCCCTTATGAAAGCTTTCAGGCGCCACTTTATGACAGGACATTACATGATTTGCTCTGTCGAACCGTATCAACTAAATTTGAAAGGCTTATATCTTTTCAAGACGAATTTCATTTGATCTCTGTATGACCAGTCAGCGTTTTACTGCATCCCGAGGTTGTTATAGAAAAAACTTTATCGTGGTTAACGTTTCGGCACCTTTTCTTCCGGATAGCGACAGTGATTCAAGTTAGATGTCCAAAACAGTTATTTCTAACTATTCGACTCTTCGTCGTCGTACCAGTTCGAATCTACTAGAGCGACGCACCACACGAAGCCAAAATAAAGTGTTCCCAAAAAAGATTTCCTATTAATCCCAGCATTAATTAGTAATTCCCTGTTTTTTGATAAGTTCTTGTTTTATTTTTGCTTCAAATGCGGTTAAAACCTAGGCTTCGTGATTTCTTTGTTTAAGTTGAGGAGGTTTTTGGCTGACTAGTTGTAGGCAACTTAACCTTTCCTGACCCGAAGCAGATCAAACACACCGCAACATCAGTAAAGGGTATAGCAGCAAGCACGTGTGTGCTTATCAAGAAATTCATAATCAAAGTGTTTTTGACAACAACGTCATGTGAGCTCATGATTATAACGAGCCTAATTCATTGCATCTGTTAATAAGCCTATGAACACGATGTTTCTATTTGTGTTGAGCATGATTTCAGATGTGCTACAGTGAATACTATGCAGTTAATCACAGTGGTACTGTCCGGCAGTACTTTGATCGATTCTGCGTCCATCGAGAACACTGCGTTAATCGTGGAATCGACGAACAATGTCAGACACTGCAGCAACTCGATAAACGAGTCCAAGTATGCAAGTATGAGCATTTGCATATAATTTCTCTAGGACGTTACTCTAAAGAATTTCACATTTACATACATAATATATGCATTCGGGAGCACAGGAAGCTGGTGACCCAATGCATTATATAAACTTTTTAGACTTTTTGGTATATGCTTCTTAGTCATTCTTGCGCAACATTCCTTGAAGATTACGGTGTTTTCACGCTTGGATACTTCTATGGCAATTCTTCACGAATAGCGCGGGTTCCAGTATATTTCCCAATCGGCTCTCTCACGCAATCGTCATCCATGTTGGTGTTCTACTCCGAACAACGTGACCACCCCAGGACACATTTCATAATACAGAAATCGTCTTCATCTCTGCATCTAAATGGTTGACGCTAGCTACGAACAGTCCCGTCCATCGCGTGGGTGGGTGCCCGAGAGGAAGTTTGCATTTTCTTGGAACCCATTTGACGGTCCCTTTCATCCATTTTTCATTTGTTTTTCGTATTACGTAGCGGGCCGTTGATGCTTATTCTCCTGGATTTCGATGATGGGATAGATTTTTATGATGTGAGGACAGCACGCGGGCTTGACGTCGTGACTGCTGGCTAGATTTCAGAAGACATCGTTCAATAGCTCTGTGGGTGGTGAGCGGAATTTTTGCCGTGATCTGAGAGCTGGTCAATGATGTAAGTTGTGTATACTTCTTAGACACTGTGGCTACCAACGGAGCACAGGTTTCACACTGTTGTTTTTAAATGCAGCCACTATTAAAAAATTGTTTTAAGTGTTTGTATTAGGTTACACTCCGTTGATATGCTCAGTTAACTTCGTTAAAATATTTCAAACAACGGCACTGGAAGCGCAGTGGCTACAGGTGTCGTGTAATAGTAAGCGCATGGCGGCTTTTGACACCAAACAAGCTAGGCCTATGATTCTTTCTGATTGAGCAAGCATTTGTTGCTCACTTCTATGTGAACGGTTGCTCTGCATGGGAAGACCGGCTACTGCCTTTTTAATAAAGGAACGCTCTAGTAGAGCTATCCCAGAATTCCGGGAGGAATCATGTCGATCACCACTCAATGACGAATAAGTGGTGAAGTGGCAATTAAATCCACACATGAGTACGAAAACGTTCCTCGATGATGGCTGCAAGAAGACAGCAAATCGAATGAAAGAATGGCTTCAAACACTACAGGGACACGAGGTCACACGAGAGCGTAAATATTAGTAAAGTAATTTTACCAGAGAAATGTTATGAAATTCACGTTAGTGTAAGTAAATCAAAGAGTGGAATGAATTTACTGATGAAATAACACAAACCACGAGATCTGAGCAAGCGCTTTCTTCTTAGTTTTGTCGCTTTCACACGTCTGAAAGTCAAATACGGTGATTTGGGCAGATTATTCTGGTCTTCAGAAAGCGTTCTTCTCTTATCATCACGCAAGACCATCCAGAAGAGCATTGGTGCAGAGCCGATTCTGTTGTTGTGAGACGGATCGTTGCAACAATTTCAACAATCAAATGGCATACGAAATATTCGGTATAACCTCCACTACATCCCATTTCTTACTCTTCTTTCGTATTTACACAACAATGACGTGCATTCTGATACTTCTACTCTAAGACAATAGTATAATTACTGAGAGTTTAATATTTTGAGATGGCACAGAGAAGCAGAACAGTTTGGTGAGTAAGACTCCTCATCTTTGCTGTTTCAATATTTGTAACAGGAGACCATCAAAGAGTGGTATAGGAGAAGTGGCACTGATTGATGGAAATATTAGAATACCAATTGCGTTTCTCTTAACCAAGTCACATATGACTCATACATGACTGCCGCTTAAATGAATATATCTCAGCTCGTAGTGACCCTTATCAATTGGAAGAGAACCACTAGAGTTCGCGAAACTGCTTCTGTGGAACATCATATCCCTTATTCTAACATGAGAGAAATCTGGTTCGTTAGAGCTTACGAACCTTTTTCCCCTTTTTTTGACTTCAATGTTCGTGCAGGCCGAATTTTGCTTGACGAAGAGCATATGAGCCTCGAAGTCCATCGTTGCTGCTTGAAGCTGCCACGTTTGCTTTGTAAGTCGATGACTGGAACGTCTATGATAGTGTTAATTTTAAACTGAAATAAGATTGTCACTTTAGAGCACCCATATCTGCCTTCGGGTCAATAGATTAAATTTCTTATTTAATTTATCAACTCAGGTTTTAAAGCACTGTGATAGTCCAGACATCAGAAACGTCTTGAATGTGTAACTAATATTGAACATTCAATTAATAACCAGAGAAGAACAGGACTAAGTAAACAGCAAGTGACTGAAACATTTACAAAATCATGTTAAAGAACGTTAGAACCGAATTGAAGCAGCAAAAATATCATAACCTTTAGAAATTCTGCACAGATGGATCATGTCGCTTTCCTCAAAACTAGAAGTAATTTACTTTTATGTTTGCCTAAGCATTTACAACCCGCTTGTTGATGTAACCCTTCCTCACTGTCATTTATCTCCTTTTCTCTTGATTTTTTCCTCCAACAATTTAATTACTACTTCCTCAATAATGTTCAGGTGACCCTTTGCTTTGCTGACTCCTTTGTGAATGCTCACTTTCGTGTTATGAATGAGCAAACAGTCATAAAGAACTATTAACAGCGGAAAATAAAACTACGTCAGTGATCTCGAGATGTGGTTGTGGCGTCAAAATGACACATTGCCCGTATTCACTTCATGTGCTTTTTGGCTGACGAATGTTTTTCTCTTTCTTTTTCGAAAGCCGGAAATAATTGGTAATTCTTCACAAGTTCTCGACCACCCAAGATGTATTTTTACAGCTTGTTCAACTAATGTTTCATGAGAACACCAGTACTGACTGGTTTGAAGGTCTCTTTCTTCGAAATTTCTGACAGGCGTTCCTGTGCTTTGTGCGGATTACACAGCTAAATATTTTAAATAAAGTGTTTTAATCAGTTTTAGATATATTTTCTAAATAGTTAAAGAATAAAGCAGTTATCAATTTGGTTTAACCTTATGAATACAACTACTATAATGGTAGGTATTTGCAAAACTCCGTACCGCAGGTGTCTGCGGTGGGGAACGAACGCGCTATTGTCCTTTCCGGGAAGTAACGCATTCATCACCACATCATGTGGGTTCTTCGTTTCGCATGTTTCTCAGCTAGTTCTATCACTCCTTTTATAGAATAGGCAGTAAATAAAAAGGTATAATACTGTGATTTCAACTACAGCCGCAGCTTAACTGGGTTCTATGCCGATTTGGGCGCCCCAGATCAATCCCGTTGACGGGTGATTGCTGTGGCAAAGATCGATAGAAATAGCTGAGAGACAGGTGAAACAAAGGACCCGCATGGTGTGGTGGTGAACGCGTTACTCCGCGAAAGGGACAATAGCGCGTTCGTTCCCCACCGCAGTCACCTGCGGCCCGGAGTTTAGCAAATATCTCAGCATTATAGTAGTTATATTTCGCAAAAATACTCCGCCGTTAAAAAAAATAAGCATTAAATAGAAAGGTTAAGCTTATGAATACAATTTTCTGAGCAGCATGGAATCAACGGCTTCTGTAGAGGAGTGGTTAGAGGTGCTCTGCAATAATACGTGATTTTTCGCTACAAACCCGAAACCTCATTGTCCTTCCAGGATTCGGCGGATTGTTACGAAGGTTTTCTAAGAGGATAAAACTTGGTGCATTAGTAAAACCTTTCAAGTCACAAATCACCTTTAGGATGATACGAATCAAGTCGAGTGCACAGGGGTTGCCTTAAAGTTTTTCGAATTGAAGGAAAGAATATTTACGATAGACCACGATGGCTGATTCGTGAAAATTCGAAACAAAACATCATATTCAGTTCTCAATTAATTCAACAGCGAAAAAGAAAAAAAAACCACAATGATACAAATTGTTTTCGAAAATAGTTCATCAGTGAAACAGAGAACGTATGTTAGCGATCTAGAACAGCAGAGGACTTAAAGCGGAGATACAATGTTTCTGTAGCCAGCTGTGAACCTACCACGCCACAACACCGAGGTGTGTAGCGAAACAGTAACTTTAGACGTCACTTTTCACAGCAATTTTCGAGACCGATTTTCTGTTGACCTCGGCATTGATCAACAATTCGCTGATTTCTTAATAAGCCCATGCAGGGTTGTTACTATACTCTTTAGTCACAAAAACTAACTTTTCGGCGGATTTTGAGTTCCTCACGGCCTGGAAAAGTCAAATTGATTGCAATCTAGTCAGCTAAACAGCTCTGTAACTCCAGCAGAAAAGTCGTAAAACCTAGAGTTCAATTGCATTGGAAACCAAATAGCTTCTTCGTTTTCACTCACTGCTTTCAAACATTCTTCCACTGAGTGTTTCACGTGGAGACCATTCAGTTCACATGGACGTAGTAATACCCCACTCCAACATTAAAATATCAGTCTGAGATATTGTATGAGATCAGGCGTGATTACGAGACATTTCTTCCTGTGGTTGATTCTTAAATTCTTAGAACAAAAGAGTTCCGAGAATCAAAAATTACAGTGCGCGAAACTTTCAAAGCATTGTGAACAAAATTCAAGCATCCGAAAATGAGCCACAAGGAGGAATGCGTCGTGATCATGCGCGATCTCACATGGTATTTAAGGCCAATATTTTAATGTGAGAGGAACACTACTCGTCCATGTGAACTGGTAGGCCTCCACGTGACACACTCAGTAGAAGAGTCATAAAAAGCAGTAAGTCTGCGAGGAAGTTATTTTGTTTCCAGTGCAATTGAAATCTAGTTTCCGTCAGTCAACTTAACATTTCGAGAATTTTCACGGTGCCTGTATTCTAAAGGTATGAAAAACGTAGCAACTGATCGGGTGTTTTTTAACAAGATTAGACGAAATAACGGAGAATATTGAAGAGCTCTAGGAACGACATTTAATCGCAGGACCGATTTGGGAGGATTTTAATCTTTGAACACGGCGAAGTGTGCTCTGATGAACTATTCTTTCCAATACAAAAACTGTGGTACCATGTTTTCGACGGACAAACACCATTTTAAGCTGCTTGTGCAATTCTCTGCAAAAATACCCTTAGTAATCCTTTTGCTTATTTTTTTACAAAAAATATTTCTTCTATTTTCTCAAAAAAAAACAGCGTATTCATTCGATAACCTTTTGCAGCAAGGGTGGAATTTTCATTGGCACACATTAGACGAGGAGATTTTGTTCTGATCTTTAATGCTAACATCGAGGTCGGCAGACTTACTTGTTTAGGAGAAAATACGGTAGTGTAAAGGCGTTTAAAACCACAGGTTGCAGGCAAAACATGCACGACTCCTTCAGGAGGAAGAAATTCAAATACGGAAAAAATACCAGTTCAACACCAATAGAAAGTACTACCTGAAATCACCGTTATAAATGATCCTCTTTGTAATCGAAGCCAACAGAAGTTTACCTGTGCAGTGAGTCTGATGTCCTCCTTCGAATTTTGATACGATTTCAGCTTAAATTTTAGCAAAAGCAAAAGTAGAGGGTAAGATGACACTGGTCAGCATCACAACATAAAGTATGATTCGTTCGACTCTTAATGACAACGTTAGAGCTCATAGAGAAAAGCTGCCGATTTTATGGGATTTGATAAAATATGAAAGATTTACGAGCTGGTAATAAAATTTCTGCAATTCCGTCGGCAAAATCCATCGAAAATATTTCCAATTGGACATTACTTCATAACCAATAGAAAAGGAATAAGAGCTCTGAAGCACTTCAAAGTACGGTGAAGTGTGCTCGATTATGTATGCACACCACCCTGGCACATAGAAGGCGCCGGCGTAGGAGCTCAGAATAACGCGGTGACACTGAGTTAGTAAAGCATCACTAAGAAAAAGCTGATCTGAAAACGGAATTCGATTGAAAACCACGACCTTCTATCAGTAATCAGTGTTCTGCTGCATTTCAGTCAAGTTAATCGTTAACGTTTCCGACACTTTATGAATGCCACACTTTAACACCAAAATAGGTTATAATGTTATTGGTTTCAGTTCATTGTCAGGTTGGACTTTTTCGCTGACATCATATAAAAATAAGCTCACGCTTGAGAGTAACACGTGGAACATGTTTATGCAATTGTTCATAAATGCATATATATATATATATAATATATATACATATGTATAACATGAAATTTGCCGAAACGTCAGTTTGTTTATAAATAAGAATAAAAAGACAACGTCGTGCTTGCTCACCAAGAAAACAGTGAAGTATCCTTACATTCACATAATAACCTGCCATTTAAAAAAAGAGTAGACTCAGTTGAGGTAAAAGCAGTAGGCATTAAATAAAAGCTACGACAGCTTTAGCTTTAGCTGGATTCAGTGCCGAATTGTGCTCCTCAGATCAACAGATCAATTCCGTTGACGGGTGATTGCTGATAGCGCCCATAGGTCAATAACACGGCTGAAGGCAATGCGAAACGAATAACTCGCATGACGTGGTGATGAACTCGTTTAGCCCTGGAAAGGGTGGTAGCGTGTTCGGTCCTCACTGCAGACACCGAATGTCCGGAGTTTTGCACATATCTCCGTATCCCTGTAGTTATCTTTATTCACTTTTTTCTTTGTACTATATA